GTACAGTTAGCTTTTGAGAAATGTGTCTATATTCTGAAAATGCTATTTTAGACAATTCCATAGAACACAATGTTAAAGAAAAATTGCATTTTTGAAACTTCTTAAAACCCAGATTTTTTAAATAATTCAGAACAACAAAAAGTACTCCATCATTACCAATATATGATTTTTTCAGCTATGTCACCAGGCTAGATTTTGAGATATTGCATAATATCTCTGCCATGGGAACGTATGGTAAAGGTGTTTTAATAGTGTCAAAATGGCGACTTTCCACTAAAATACAACCATCAATTTCTCAAAAATCAATATCCTTATATTGCCTTGGAGTACAGTTTATTGCAAAATTAATAAATTCTGGCTATTTTAATTTATGAGTAGGCTTCTAGCTTAAGTGGGAATAAATTTACAAATTGTTTTCTAGATTGGACGAGTAGAGCTAAACAGATTGCTAAAATATGGAGAAAGGCATCAACTGATGAAAGAGCGCCATTCTTACAAAGAGCTCGTGAAAATCGAGCTGCGCAAAGACTCAAAGAAGCACAAAAGGTATGGAAAGTGAGTATTTTTTGACTAACATAACTGACTACTAACCAAACTGACTACCTGGATATCATGATTGGTCAGTGTAGGAATGTCAGACAACTATAAGTACGAGCATCGAGTGCTCAGGACGTTGGCAGAAATTACACCCACTATAGAAAGAGTAATGTCGATGACAGAATTATGCAAACTGTTGCAAATCACAGAGCCATGCCTGTGCACAATCTTTACTTGGTTGCCATGTCTTGGCATGCTGTTTCACTGCCAGGCACACATTAAAACATGCCCTATTATTTGCTTGGTATTACATCTAATCACAATGCACCTGACATTGCAACATTGGCCATGCATGGTATAGTTCAATGTGAGTGAGCTTTCACCTTTTCACCTCCTCACTAACATTGTGTTGTCTCTTCTTAAGATTAAAGATCTACAGTCACCATCACGAGTGAGTGTTGCTGTTATAGTAAGTTTGCATCCATCTTGTTTCCATCTTCTCACTAACAAACTTTTGTTCTACAATCTTGGCTTATTGTCCCAAATGTCAATTGCTGCCTCATCCTGACCTATCAACCAAGTACTAGCTCGTGAAACCGACTATTGAGTGGGGTTACCTACTACTACCAGGCTTGCCCACCAGTACAATAGCTTACCTGGCACTGGGCTAGTGATTGTACTGCACTGGCTTGTCATCTACTAAGAGCGGTTTACCAGCGATACTCAACTCGATTTAGTGGTTACCTAACATTGGTTAACCCATCATGCAGAGTTAGTATCTGGCTCTGGCTAGGTAACCAATATGAGTGGTTAACTAGAAGTGTTTACTTGACTCAACTAGGTGATTATATAGAACTTGATTGTCCACCAACTTGAGCTGTTAACTGATAGTGTCCATTCAACTGAAAGCTGGTTATTGGCTGGTTACCTGACACTGGCTAGTAAAACCATTACGAGACAATACATAGCAGTGCCTAACTGTCATATATGACACTGTTTTATTTTTGCCGTTTTGAGTCAACAATAGGCTACTGTGTAAAATGAACATCTATTGTTACACTAAGCTCTGTTGTGTAACAATTAACGTAGAACAAAAGTTTATACTTTCACTATTATCATTTCCTTTCCCATTTCTTCTTTGCATGCTTATGGTAACAGAATAGAATAATTGATTTAGCAGTAAAGTTAACAAATTCTCTAGTTGCTATGGCTACTGGGTCCAATCTACAGTATTATGATGAGCATGTTAGCATATGTTTCCGTAAGACAGTTTGCGGTATCCTTTTTTTTTCTGGATTTACTGGATGTACATGCATGGTGTCAAAATTAGTATTTGTCCAGGTTCATAATTGTGCTTGAATATTTAACGAATTTTCAAGGACACCCCTAAAGTTAAAAACTGAAT